ACAAAAGGACACAGTTTAACAGCTCTCAGTTGACATTTGCTAATAGGACAGAAATCATACAGCAATCCACATGACAGATTTAGACTTACAGTGTGGAATGTGGGCGGTCAGAGAAAAGCACCTGGGCTTCCTGCTGCACCAAGAGGAATGTACCTGGGGTGCTCAGGTAGATGCCTTTACAGAAGGACACTTACTATGTTAAGAAAATAACTCTGCATTTGCGTTGCTTTTTTTGTTGTTTTGTTTTTCATTGCTCACCATGCACAGACACACAAGCACTCATTCTTGCTGGCGGGGCACATGAAGAAAGCAAGATGCTGTTACTTCAGCACCAGTGGATTGGAATTGTCAGTCAACTACAAACAGTGTTCTATATTAAAAAAAAATCGACCACTGCCTCTGCTTCCCCCCTCTCCGCTCCCTTAATTACAGGCTGTTGAAGTGCAGAAGGATTTTTGCCTACAGGCTGGAAGGGAAGGTGGCATACACAGTAAAGGTCAGGTATGCATTCATTTTACACCTCATTGAAGAGCAAGGGGAAATGTAAAGAGAAATCAAGGTGGGAACTAATGGAAAAGACTATCATTGCTGATTTAAGGAATTAAGAACCAGTTTCTCTAGGAAGTCCAGCTTTCCCATGTTTTGTTCTTACCTATACAGTTCTAGCTCTTGGGGAAAAGTACAGAGATGGCTTTAGGATAGAGCAGAGACCACCAGTAATAACTTAGAGTAATACCCAAACTATTTCTGCATCACAAAAGAGGTTTTTTCCAAGATGCATTTCTTTCTATATACAAAGTCAGTTCAGGCCTGACGCGATAATCACAAAAACAGATGGCAATTCCCCTCTAAATCCTGCAGTCTCCAATGGACGATGATCTTAGCAATGCAGTGTTAACTGGGATCACAACCTTGATGCCCACTGTTGGTTTGTAGACTATAAGAGAAGTATACTCTCCTGGCCCACTGTCTGAATTCTAACCTCTTATTTATAAAGCCTTTAGCACATGAACCAGTTCAGGCACCTCTACAACCCCCAAAGCTGCTTACACTCAACAATGCACTGCAAAGCAGCAGCACCGATAGCACAATGCTGCTTGTATAGGCTACTACCACTTTTGTAGTTAGAAGTACTGACCTACTACTTCACCTTCAAAATACAAAATGTTCCCTTTCTAATTAGTGACTTGAGAAAGAAATATTTTAGTCAGCCAAGTATAAAAATACTCTGTATACTTCTGTTCTTAGCTGCATGGGTTTTGTACAATGGCCTCTTGGCATTAGCTAGAATCTAGAGCCCAAATACTCAAAGGAAATCCCTCCCAACATAGTAATTAGTATCATTCATTTACTTGACCTACATTCTAAATGCACCAGACAGAACTCACCGCTGATGCTTTGGGGATGGAGGAAGAGGTGGGAGTTTCAGCAGTGAGAAAAAGAGAAGGAAAGTTTTCGGATACTTTCTCAGCTGTACATTAAAGAAATCAAGAATAAGCCTGCACTGGGATACATTGTTATACAGAGGGCTACGGAAGAGATCTCCTGCCATCATGGATCAACCTGCAGCGCCTGGAAGCAGTGAAGGAGAAGCTGTGCTGCCATCAGCCAGGAGCTGGCCTCAGAACCTCAATCTAATCCAATATTATTCCATGCTGCTGGAAAACATTGAATGGTGAGAAGGAAAAAAAAGAAATGCAGAAAAGAACTATAAATAGCCTGGCAAATCAAACATCAAAACAAAAAACCCAACACCAACATTATCTACACACAGGTAACAAGGTTAGAATTGTCACGTGCCCTGTGCTTAATACTTCTTAAATATATATATATATAAAATAATGCCCTAATTCCTTCATAGCTTATCTCCCTAGAAGCAAAGAACTGACAGATCTAGGCATGCTTTGACGCTATGGGCGTCAAAGTGAAGTTTACTAGCACATAACCATGATGTCAAACAGCACAAGGCTGCTGTTGAAGACTCTAAGGATTGCTTAAGTCCTCTAATGGAAGTGGATATCAGGTAGCACAAGGCCTCTGCCTGCCCTGTCCATACACACACGTCATCCCATGTCACTGACCACTGCAAAAGGCATACTGTTACACTACAGACTCAACTAATATGGCTGAGATCATTATAAACACTGGCATCCTCCCTCCCTGAACACCCCTTACTGCTCCCAACCAACGTCCTTAGCACATACAGCTTCCTCTGCAACATTTCCCCTTGCATCTCAGTGGGCCTGCCCTTGGGTCTCCCCTGCCCCCTGCTAGGGCATGGCCATCGCTCACCCCAGGGGCAGCAGGTCCTTGTCACATATCAGCCCATGGGAGGGTGATGATGGGAGATACTTGGCTCCTACTGTCTCAAAGAGAAATCTGTTCAATTAAGGTTGCTAAAGAAAAATGGTCACAAACATTCCAAAGTAAAGCAAAGGATTTCCTTATTATAAAGAAATAGTACTTAATAATAAAATCCACAAACTATGTGTGTGTTAGCTCAAGAGATTCCCAAGAGTACGTAAAAATTATTTAAAGAATGAGACAGGTGAAGATTATAGAAGCATATTATTCAGCAGTTAAAATCAATGTTGCCAGACTGGTTCAGATGAATTAGTTCAGCAGGGTCTGACCCTGAATATGACCAGTTTAAAATGTTTCAGATGAAAACATGAATATCTCCTGTTAAGATTTGAATTGATAGGTCCAAATTAAGCAAGTAAGAAGGCAAAGCATCAATAGGGTTTACTGAAGGAGGTCTCAGAGAAGGAGTTTACTTGGGTATTGCAAAATTGTCTCTTCCAAGTACTGGGAAAAAATTCAATTTTTACTTCAATACAATGAAGTCAGCAGTATCTGCAATGAGAGGTGATCCATTTAGCTGGCAGTGGGCACAAGCTCAGGCAGCTTGGCCTTCTGTTTATGCACAGTGCAAACTGCAACCCAATTAAAAGCAACGCTGTGCTTGACAGTTTGATGCCCTTTTTGCAGAAGCCTCAAGTATTCAGTTTCACTCAGAAGTGGCAAACCGTGGGTGCTCTGAAACCAAAATACCACTTACAGAACATTCTAAGCTATGACCTTACCCACTTATGTAGGTCTGCTACATCATAGCGAAATGGTCAGCCCCAGCTTTCTCCTGACACTCCTATGAGGGTGCTGAGACACTGGCACAGGTTGCCCAGTGATGATGTGAATGCCCCCTCCGACCTCTGAGACAACATAGCTGTCCTGCTTAGATTAATGCTATTTCAAGGAGCACCATTTAAAATAATGTAGGCTAATGGAGGCATTCAAGGCCAGGCTGGATGAGGCTCTGAGCAACCTGGTCTAGAGGGAGGTGTCCCTGCCTATAGCAGGGAGGTGGAACTACATGATCTTAAAGGTCCTTTCCAACCCAAACCATTCCATGATTCTGTGACTCTTTGCTGACCTCATGTGGCTGAAATACACAGCCATCTCCCTTGTGATGTTGTCAGCGACACCAATTAGTAGTGTTTGCTGTTTAGGTGAAGCCTGGCTTCAAAAAAACATCCAAAAGCCATTGTGGGGTACTGGAATGATGTGGAGGACTGAACAGGATCGTTGTGAAGGGAAAGAAGCTCTAAAGGTTCACTGATCCATGCCAAGAAGGGAATTCTTGCAAAATGGTCTAAGATGGCATTCTTCTCTCATTTCTACCAAAGGTAAATTAGTAAAAAGGCACTTGCATAGATGAATAGGACATAAAGTAAAAAGTACATCCGTACGCCAACACTCACTATCAGCTTATAGAGTCAGGCATACATTTCACTCTCACTATGGTGAAATACCTTCTTAAAATGGCCCGGAGGGAAAAAGGGGGAGGGCAAACCAAAGCCCACTGTTGTCCACCAAATTCTTTCCATTTCTTTCTTTGAGCTTTGAGTTAGGCCTAAGAGCAGATAGCAAATAGGACACTAAAGAAAGAAAGTCTGAAGAGAATGAAGAACAAGAAAGGAGCAGGTGTGGCAGCTGCTACAATAAAATACAAATTCAATATTTTACAAAATAGAATACTTGCAGGAAATAACTACTGTACATAGTAAAAAATTACTTGTAAGGCTAAGTTAGTTAGTTTTTCCCTTATTTATCACAAGGGGAAAAAAATAGAGCTATAAAATTGTTTTGTTGCTTCTTTTTTTAAATTGACTTACATTAAACTGTAAAATAGCTATGCTAGTCTGCTGAACTAAGATTTTTCACATTAAATTCATCCTCAATGAAGTCTGAGTGCCATTCTGTAGCAATAAGAGCAATCCCAAATCAGGAGCTAGAATTGGCTTGCCAATCCAAGGACAAATTCCAAGAAGCACAACTCAGACAAAGGCATGAGAAAGGCAATAGAAGGACAAGTCTTAGGCAACAGCTACATGGGAGAAGAAGGAAACACGGCAAAGTAAAAAGTGGACTGGACTAGGATCAGATTTGAATATGGTTCTTTAGTTCATCCACTACACTTTGGGGCTGTCACTTCACCTCCCTGTGTGCCTGCCTCATTCCTTTTTTGCCTTGTCTGCTGCCTACATACCAACTCCTCAGGTCAGGGACTTGCTGTATGTTAGTACAGCACCTAACTGCCTCCAGGCCTGAATTGTATGCATTTTATTTGGCTAAACAGTTGATCTAAGATCTCATCTCTGGAAAAGGACACATGAAGAAGAGGAGGCCTATGACTATTTTAAGGCAATTCAAGCTTAGAGGGAAGGAATGGGATGCTCTGTGATATTTGCATGTCCAATTTCAGAGCTTGCCAAGATGACTTGCAGGGTTAGGGGAGGTTAATCCAATATAAGTCCTTGAACAAAATCTTGCAAAGCTAATAAATACTATTTACAACAGTAACAGGAAAATGGCAAAAAAAAAAAAAAAAAAAAAAAAAAGGAGAACACAACAAGACTTGGTCTACATGAGAAATTCCATCAATGCAACTAGAAGCCAATAAATAAAATCCATACGGTCCTCTCAGGAGGCACTTCTGGTTTAAGACTTAACATTGATTTAGTTTATTGGGAAGGAATTGATCTGAACTAAACAGATTAGCCTTCAGCAGACTAAGGAACATCCACCCAAAACACTGCCTGAAGTTAACAAAACCTGCTTTCTAAACAGAATCAGTTAAATTACTCCATTTGTCCCAGACATTGTGACAAGACAGTGATGGATCTTCGCTTGAATTCCATAAGGGTAGAAGAAGTAGGGATACCTACCACGTTTGCTTCCAGTGCAAACAGAAACCTGTTACACTAAATGACATAGGGGCTGGTGAGCAGAAGAGACAAAGATGTAGGGGAGGATGATTCAGCACCGTCACTGTCCATACCTCTCCTGCCTGTGCTGTTAACAAAATAGTATTGGGGCCCATTCTTGTGCTTTCAAAGGCAGATGAAACATATGCTTCTCACTCCTCCCAAAAAGGCTCAAGTTCTACAGACCAGTGAGCATAGAATCGTGACTAAAGTCGAGCAGCATCACACTGCCTCTCCTATTTCTCTTAATTACCTTCTCCCAAGAAACCCATCAACCACTTGCTCCCATCAGTTTTGCATATTCCACTCTTCTACCCAATGACTTTATGCACAGATGATGATGTATACATGCAAGCAGTGGCACACATACACAGATCGATCATCAGCACACTGCTGATATCATCTGCAATCATAATTCAACCCTGCCCTTGTATTACCAGACAGGAAAGAAATAAAAGCAAATATAGGGATTGTGTGAAGTAAGGAAGGGAGTCACAAGACAAGAGATTCCATCTGCAGTCACAGTCTCACCAGTCAATGCAGAATTTAGTCAACTCCCTCTTTTGTGCTTTGGTTCACTAAGGATGACAAGTCAGGGGGACTTTGGTTGAAAGTATCTGGGAAAGAGGGAAGTCAAGAAAAAAGGCCTTTTTATTTTTAAGAGGTGGCATTGACTCTTCTATCTATTTCAATTATCTTCAGTGTTTCATTTCCTTCAATTTCAGAGTTGACTCTGTAGGGAAAAAAAAACGCAACAACAAAGGTTAACACTAACAGTCATATTTAAAAGTGCACATCCTGCTCAAATTGGCTAATGCAAAAAAAGGCACTCAGCATTTTAACAGCACTTGTCAGTTGGATATGATAACACACTGAATTAGTCATCTCTTTGGCCCTGGTATAACTCTGATATAAGTGTTCAGAAGGCATTCTTCGGATGACATCACTCAACTTAGACCTCTGAAAAGCACTCCTCTAAACACAGTCCAACTGTTTGGTGTGTTTGCTATTGCTTGTTAGCAGAGACCAAGACCTGAGGACAAGTAAAGGTACAGTGGAAGAAAAACCATACTCATATATTCAACCAGTGAATCTTTCTTTGCAGAGGACCCAAATATAAATCCATGATAAAAAAAAAAAAAAATATGAAAGAATTTCATGTTAAGTAGTTCAGATAACCTGACAAGTTTTTTTTTCTAAGTCAAATCCTGCTAACTTTCCACAGCATGCATTAGTAAGATTGCTGCTGTGGGAAGTTTAAGCTCTTCACACCCTAACTTCTTACAAAGCCCCATGAGTCACAGCCTCACACTTCCACCCGAATGGCAAAAGCTTACTCCTTTAGGGGACGTGCACGTAAGTGCTTAAAGAAGTGGAGGAGGCAAAACTAACAGGCTTATAGGGGCTACCACTGAGTTCAGTAGCTTTGTTACTAGAGTATTATACATACACATTTTCACTTCTCCAAAAGAGGGTGACAGTATCTTTGCCTATAAGCTCCTCAGACAGAGGCCAAACTGTTACTTCAAGTTGCACTGTGCCCAGAACAGCACCATCTTACTGCTGGCCTCCATGACAGAGACTTCAAACACCTGTCTCACTCACAAGCAGTCCACCACGCACTCACCTGTGCTGCTGTAAGCCCAGCAGCACTGATTTCTCTAGCCGTGTCTCGTTGGCTATTGTGAACTCCATGATATCATCCCGCTGCATCACCGGCACTGCTTCCAGAGCTAGCGCCGCATACTTGGTGCTGTCTGCATGCCTGTCGTTTCGATCTGCAGATGAGATCGGGCTCGACGACTCCTCCAGTTGGTGAGGCTCTTCATAAATTAGCAGACTCCGTGACCTCACTGGATGCAAAGACAGAAGGCAAAACCGAGATGAGCAACAGGTTGGGCAAAGAGTGCAGCCCTGATCATCTCAGGAAATCATCAGAGCAGAACTAGAGCTGCAAAGGTCTTTTCATCACTATTAATTGGTGGTTTGATAGCTGTGGGAAGACACTGCAGCAATGGTTCAGTAGGGATCAAAAAAGTTCTGAACTCTTCAGAGATCAAGAGCAAAATGAAGTAATCACTTTAATAATATAGATTTAATGCTACCACTTCTTAACTGCTACATACTACTAAGCTTCCCATTCAGTCCTTAGACACTCAGATAACACTAGCAGAAGAAATAACAGCTGATAGTTGCACTTACTGACAGTAGCAAGGATGTAGCAAGGAGCAGAAATCAAGCTCTCCTGCTACCTTTTACCTTTAAAGACTAGTTCTTTAGTTCCTCAAACAGAAACAGAAAGGCTTCAAACTGAAGTACAAAGCAAACTGGGGGGGGGAAGGCTTTTCTGATCTTTATTAAGTTCAATGCCATCAGCATAACTTGCCAAGATATCACCTGAAAACCACAAGTATATCAACATACAGCCACCTAAGTAGCAGAAGAGCAAGAGGTGCTTGGGGAGGGCTTTGGGGATGTGGGTGAAAATCAAGTGCTGAAGAGCAACTAAACAAGAAACAAGACATTGGTGGTGGTCGCTTACCAATGGAGTCTGTGTAGGACTCTGGTGAGGAATGCTGCCTGGGCAACACCATCTTTGTAGCCGAAGGATATGGTCCATAGCTCTGAGAAAAGCTGCCAAAAACAACTGCAAAGCACAGCACCACCATCTGGCACAGGGAAAAAGAGAAAGAGGTTAGGTAATCATGGAGTTTGGAAAAGACCACTAGGATCACCTTGTCCAACCATCAGCCCATCCCCACCATGCCTGCTAAACCAGGTCCCTCAGTGCCACATCTGCATCAAAACAAAAAAGTGACACAAAGCAGATCTGATACGTTATCAAAACAAGTGACTTGAGGCTATTTTTGTCACTACCTACAGCACCTTTTAGCAAAGGCACAGATACAAGAACAAATTCTATGCTTTAATGCTGGAGTTTGTTTTCAGTGTCTGACATCATTTTGGCCTCTTGCCTTATTTCTTCCCAAAGCTGAAAAGCAGACACAACTGGCATGTGTGTTTTACAGATACTGTTGGGAATTTCCAAGGTTATTTCTGCTGCTGGCCCCAGTCTTGCTTGAAAGTGACAGAGAGGCTGGCAGCCGATGAGAACAGCAAAGGCCCTGAATATAATTTCCATCAATTTATAGCACTAGCATAAAGGGAACTTATTGGCTGGGTGTAAGGAAGGAAGAGCTTCATTCTAACCCTCTTCTTATCCTGACAGACATTACTGAAATAGAGCAGACTCAGATTTACAGCCTTAGTCATATTTTTATTCAGATTTAAAAGTTTATTTTTACTGGTATCTAAAATCTGAAAATCAAAGGGCACCCTCATTTTCATTTTACAGCACTAGACACCATTTCTAAATTAAAAAAAATGTAGGAAATAATAAAACAGGTCACCCAGATGAGCAGAGCTGCTTCCTTTAGCACTGCAGCAGCCCAGCAAAAACACGGGCACAGTCTCCAACAGAATGTAATGCCTTCCCTTCACCAGTCACAAGTCCCACCTCCCTCAGAATGAACTGTTAAACTATCAAGAGAAATATCCCAACCTGAGAATTTGTAAGTGAGGGGCTTAGCAGAACAGGAGCTGTGCTTTTGAACAGTAGAAAGAGAACCTCACTCCTCTACAATCCCCAGCTTTAGAGAGTACTCACCATAAGACAGGTCCCTGTCTGTGTGCTAGCTGCCTTACATGAACGGGACACCTTCCCAGCAACCATGGCCTGGAGTCTCTGCAGCTGCTGCAGAAGTGTTCTGGAAAGCAAAGACAACAGATGTGAGCATCAGATGTCCTGATCTACTTGTTTTTGCTTCAAATTCTACACCCGGCAATAATACTTTTAGCAGTTACAGTAAGATACAGATGACTAAAGTCCTCCCCTTGAAATTAGAAGTAAGGAATGAGTTTAATTTTTACAAAATTCTTGCATGGATTAGCAATGGATCTTTCAAAAAGATCTTTTGCTTTTCCCTCAGCTGAAATCCCCGAACAATGACTTCTTTACCTTATTCAGAAAGTTCTTACAAATAAAAAAACTATTTTCATACTTTCTCTAGGAAATTCTAGTACATGTGTGAACAACAGGGATTGCTCTATGTGCAAGTGAGTGACTGCTTATACAGCCTCATTCTGTATCATGAACTGAGCAGGAGTTTCACAGTTACTTGAAATGGTTCAAAAGCAATTTCTAATTGCTGTTACTGGTGGTAGAAGTACACTGCTACACCCTTTTTCTGAAAACTCGCTGTATAGTGAATTGGACCTTTTTTAAAGAAAGGGATTTAAAGCACAGACTTAATTTCCCATAAATGCATTTGCTAAATAAAGTACTTCACTGCTATTTGCTAAACCCTCCAGGAGTTTACAAAACCACAGTGGCTTGAAGCAGCTACTCTGACTGTGCTTTTTAGAGGTAACAACCACACTAGTAATTCTCTTCTGGTTTGAGTCAACTGTTATGGACCAGGAAGGTATTCTTCTGCCTCAATTGCTGATTTTCTTTTGCTATAGCATCATCAGTGGCTACAGTCAGGATATTACCATTTAAATGGGAGATGATCCCAAAGAATAACCGGCATTGGGTTTTCATGAGTTTCCGTTTTACTTTCGTTTGAACTTTGTATAACAGAGAAGGAATAACCCAAACACCTGTCCTCGATACAGCCAAATATCATGCAATGTTACATCAAGACGTTGACTTTGCTGTTTCCAATTCTACTTTTTGCTTCTTATGTAAGCCTCACTATTTCTGAGGGTAACCCCCATAAAACTCCAGGCAACAATTTTGGAGACCATGACATCAAATTCTAGAACAAGAGGCAAGGTTAGGATGTCAGAGAAAATAGAAGGAATATTTTAAGATCAAACTTGCTAAAAGCTAATTGTAGGACAGACCCAGAGGTGCCTTTATGGCTCAATATACACTTGTCTTCCTATTATTATAGACCTTTTTTAATCATCAATGATCATTGCTAATTAGAGTTTAATGTATTCAAGGACTTCAGGATTGCATTTTGAAATGAGCACAAGGCATGCTCACAGCACAGATTTATCTGGGCCAGCAGATCCTTTCCAGCTTATTAAGGAAGGATGTATTGCATGCTCTTGAGAACCCAGTTTATTCTGCAGATCAGTATTAAAAAAAAAGAAATTGATGTGTCTAATTAAGTCCTTCATTCACTGCTATAGACCACAGACAAATTAAGAGATGAAAACAACATCCATCATGTCAGTGAGACCATTCTAACACCCTTCTCTCTGCTAACATCTCTTGGAAGTCTCTCCCTCCTACCCACTTCACTGCTCAGGAATCACACAGATTTACATACAGAGGATATCTCATTTTATGGCACAGTACACACTGCATACAGTATTCCCACCATATGCCACGTTACATAGCAATGCTAGCTATGTATTGTCATTTCCGTGCTGTTATGGAAGGCTAAATCCCCCCCCAAACCATTACAGGCCTGATCAGTGCTGAGCCAGCAGTGTGCCCAGGAGGCCAAGAAGGCCAATGGCATCCTGGTTTGCATCAGAAATGGTGTTGCCAGCAGGAACAGGGCAGTGATTGTCCCCCTGTACTCAGCTCTGGTGAGGCCACACTTTGAGTACTGTGCCCAGTTTTGGGCCCCTCACTGCAAGAAAGACATTTAGGCCCTGGAACGTGTTCAAAGGAGGGCAACAAAGCTGGTGAGGGGTCTGGAGCACAGGACTTATGAGGAGCAGCTGAAGGAGCTGGGAATGTTCAGCCTGGAGAAGAGGAGGCTCAGGGGAGACCTCATTGCTCTCTATAACTACCTGAAGGGAGGTTGTAGTGAGCTGGGGCTCATTGTCTTCTCTCATGTAACCAGGGATAGAACTAGAGGGAATGGCTTCAAGCTGCACCAGGGGAGATTTAGGCTGGACATTAGGAAATACTGCTTCTCTGAAAGAGTGGTCAGGTGCTGGAATGGGCTGCCCAGGGAGGTGGTGGAGTCACCGACCCTGGAAGTGTTCAAGGAACGTTGGGATGTTGTATTGAGGGACATGGTTTAGTGAGAACTATTGTGATAGGTGGATGGTTGGACTGGATGATCTTGTAGGTCTTTTCCAATGTTGGTGTTTCTGTGATTCTGTGATCATTGGGTTTGACAGAGAAGAGCTGTGTGGCATGAGAAGGAAGGAGCTCCCTCCTCGGCTTGGGGGCTGCAAACTTGAAAAGTTGATCACTCTTGCCACTTTTTGTGGAGTCATAAGGAAGAAAACAGCTAATGGATGGTGAGAATATCAATAGAGAGAACATGTAATTTTGCTCATCTCTGCTATTTTGAGTTCCATTAAAAAGTCCTGTTGGGAAGAGTGGACCCAGAGCACTGATTCCAAAAGGTTCATTTTGAAAAACATAATTTTGCAGGTATTCATAGAAGATACATCTCTCACCTTTCTGACCAACTACATTCACATAAAATGTTTTTCTCTGCCAAGTTGCTTGAACAGAGCTTCTGTGATCTTCTCAGCAGACACAGGCTCAGTGGTTGGAGATGACAGGCTACAGGGGCATTTTTCAAACTCGTAGCAAAAGCTGATGTGAGAGCAAGAAGCAAGTTTATTTGCTCAGATATTTATTATGTGATGGCAGTTTACACTGCCATCATCAAAATGAGAGCATTCTTTTTATATGAAGAGGAAATTCTGGAAGATTGGATTCCAAGGTGAAGAGTTCTTTCCCACACACAAGCTGCTCTCATTGCTACTGGATGACTGCAGGAATGATCTGGACTAAGAAGAGAAGGTAAGGAACAGTTCTCTGGAGCAGTTCTCTGCTCTGAAGAACAGTATCAGTAGAAAGACCAAGATGCTCTTATTGAAACACACTGCCAGTGGCTAAATCCTAGCAAGAGAAAATGCAATCCCAAAGCAGCATGCATAGGGGGCTTTGTACCTACAGGGATTATTTTCACTATGTCTGACACATTTCCCAGTGATATTCAATTAGAGGGTCACTTCCCCAGGAGGTGTGAACTTGCTTTCGCGCTTTTCCCTGCCAAGAGAAGCACCTCATAGGAAAGCTGTAAAATAACTGAAGACTCCTGCCTTCTTTTCCAGCACTCCCGGCAAATCCACTCTGCCCATGATGTCTTATTTTCATGTGTGCATTCACAAAATCCTCTCTAAAAGGACACTTTTCACTACCAGAATAAGGAACAAGTCAATGCTTCCCCTTTGCTTCCAGTGATGTTTTCAGTCAGCAGAGAAAATTTGTCACCACAGGACCTAGTCACCTGGAAGGCTTCCTCAATATACTATTCCTCAAAGCAGTATTTTGAGGAAAAAAACTTAGCTTTGATTTTAAAAGGAGAAAAAATGTTCTCTTTTCTTTCAGCTTTACACGTAATTACTCCTCTGCCTGTCCTATAAAGGTAAGGTTCTCATTGCAAAATCACAGTACTCCAAAGCAAAACAAATAAATCCACTAATTTTCTCACTTGAATTATAAACATGAAAACCCACTATTTTTTTCATCAGACACTTAAGCATAAAAACATTGTCCTGATGCTTGAAAAACAAGAAGTTGCTCCAGAGCTGCCAACCTTGGTCAGCTGTTATGAAGGTGGTATGAAGTGCAAGATGTCTCATCGTAACTTAAATCCAGATCCTTCTCTTCTTGAAGAAGATTTGTCAAATAGATTTATCAGCTTCAAATGAAGGAACAGCCATGTAAACCAGTGAAGTCTGGCAGTTTTGGTGCTGACAAACCCTCGTGGATCAGACTGATACAATATTCAGTTTGACTGGGAGTTACAACAATGGCTTAAGCAGGAGCAGAAACTCTGCAAAACCATGCCAATTGTATTTACAAAGCCACTGCCTTTGAGATACTTGTCAGAGTGGGTATCTGCACAACTTTCTAGTCATTACTTCACCAGAGCAACTCTAGCAGCTACCTGCATGCATTATTCATGCATTTCAACAATATTTACACTCTCAATCACATGCTAATTCCTATTTTTACCTATTTCTTCCTACCAAAAGAAAAGTGGCCATCGATATATTTATAACTACAGATTTAATAGAAGTGAAAAACAAAGGTACTTCTCATACATCACACACACAATACCTGGTGTTTCAATACTGTCTTTAGCCCAAATAGTCATTGCTCCCAGCTGGACAACACTGGTGTCATAGAGCACAATCAAAGCCTACACTAATGGCAGTTTCTGTGAAGTCCCAGTGTCACCAGATGAATGGATCAAGCCTTCCTGGCAAGGGAGACAAGTCAGTTCAAGTCTTGATGCCAGCTTTTTTTCACACCCTTCTAAGACAGCAGTGCCCCAAAGCCAATGAGTTCCTGACTCACTTGTGGCTACAAGACATAACAAACACACATGTAATAATGTGTTCCTGTAGTTTTGAGAAAACTCCTTAGGAAGAAACTTGGATGGGTTTCTTGTAAGAGACTGAGTCACTTAAATTAGGAGAGGAAACATATGCTAGTGTTCTAATCCTGAAGAAGCCAAAAATGTTGCAGACACCCACTCACATTAATGAGAATTAAAAACTCCCCTGCATCTTGATCCCCAGACTCCTGCCTTCCTTTTAAGATATATGAAAGGCAAAGAAGATACTTTTGGATGCGATTTTTTTGGACCACATTTGCACCTTTTACATCAAATCTTTTCAGATCCAGAATTTCAGGCTAAGGCAGTCTCTCAGGGAAGGTTCTTCTAAAATTTTTCATGTTACTCTTTTAGCAGAAAAAATTGCAGTGCTTCCATGGTTTGGAGCCAGACTTCAAAACGTAAGTAGGGTTTCCCTGAGGTCCTAGGTATGTATCAGTGTAAAATTTGTTCTATATATAGAATAACAACATGTTCTGAAATACTGGTTGCAGATACAGAAGGAAAACTCTGCTGTTTAATAGTTATATATTTAGGGCATTGCCTGTCAGTTCCTCTCAGCTCCAGCCAGACTATAAGAACATAACACTGACTGCACATACATGTGCATAAACTTTTAAGTGAGCAGCTACAGCCCAATTTTCCAACAACATTAAAAAAAAAAAAAACCAACAGTACAACTTTGGCTTCATCCACACTGAATGTATGAGCATTTCCATATGTAATCAGTGTTATTTTCCTGTTACCTTTCTCAAGTCTTCCGATTTTCTGCAAATAAAAGGCAGCTATAATGCTTGTAGATCTACTTTTAAATGAAGCCTTAAAAGAACTCTTCATTTTTTTTACTGCATTAAATGCTCAAAGCTGCAGCTGAAGTCAACTGGGTCCATGCTTTGGGCATATTAAGTAAGTTATATGTGTGCATGACTGTGTGATAGGAACTTAGAAAAACAAGGTCCTAAGTGTTTAAATTTGAGCATCCAAGAATAAACTGACACAGCACAATGTGACCTTCACTTCTTCACGAGCTTTGATCCCTGCCTAAGTACGAGATGGAAGCACCAGTCACAGGATGCTGAAACATTTGCATAGCTTCTGAATGACACATCAATGCTCTGTACCAATGAGGAAACCAGTCATTTTGAATTCACTGTAGAAAGCAACTGACGCACATCAAAAAAGGGTCTGGAACCATTCTCTGAACAAGTTAACACAGCCACAAACTAAACCAGAGAAAGTGGCTCTTTGGGGTGAGATCTCCAAAGCAAAACAAACCAATCCAAACAAAAACAAAACAAAACACGACAATTTGGTGTTACATAATTCAGGTTTGATGAAAGCAGGAACTTCAACAAATTTTTCAGTACTCAAATTTGCAGCCTTAGCAGTTTTTAGGTACAGTTTGTATCTAAATACCCAAACCAGCATCATCGTGAGATACAAGAATTTTTGTGCACACAGTCAGGAACAACTGCTTCTCTGCAGGACACTGCAGATTACTATCAGTGCTCTTGCATAGGAAAGTAAACGATATAACTCATTGCATACGTTCTGAGTATGAGGGATAATATCACACAGACAGCTAAATAATTTTAAAGCAGTTAGCATTAGGCTATTAAGATAATAAAATAACAAAGAAGATGCTAAAGGCCCTGCCTAAAAAACTGAGAAATATTAACAGAGCAGTTCTCATGACTGTATCTTCACCTGCTCAAGAGATGTAAAAAGTTGACCAAATTTAGCCAAACTGAGGAGAAAATTTAAGGCTTGAGAACAGGTTTTCCCCGAGTGGTCATTCACAGCTGCACTCTTCCATATAGCAGTTGTTTTCAGTACCTCCTGGAACAGATTCTGAGAGAGACAACTCTACTCAACACCTACAGAACAACTCCTAGCTCTTTTACATAAAACCCTGCAGGAAGATACAGGAGGGACAGAAATGGATTGGCTCCCTTCAAACAAGCAGCAGATGTCTGCATGCATGAGCAGTGTGTGGGAGACACTCTCTAGCAAATTACAGTGCTAGAGGGTCTCGCTCCATGAAATTAGAGATCGGATCCAGAGATTAGAAACAACACATGCCACTCAATTAGCAATACATTGGCTGCCAGACAACCTTTAGGGCCATTTTTCATGACTGTGGGTCTTACCTATAAAATCCAGCTTTCTCCCACACTTCACTGCTACCATCATGTTCAGTGGCTGTATGCGACCATCATTTCAAATGCCTCTAAGCAAAAGGTATTAACAGTGGGCTCATCTAGTACCTACTCTTTGGAATTTGTGTTCATTAGAGAACACACTGAGCACAAGCCATGACTAACACTCCACTCTTGGCTAATATCCAATTCAAAGCTCAGCTATAGATAATTTTCTGCTATACATCTCTTGAAAAAGTTACCACTGAGACACCACTTTCTTCAGAAATGAAGAAATGAGAAACTGGTTATCCTTACAAAGGAAGTTGTATTTCCTAAAGTGAAAGATATTAATAGTGTGTCAGATAATCAGAACAGCGTTCAACAATTGCAGTAATATCTAACAGTCCAGAATAAACTAACATTGACTCAGAGCAACTAAGCAATTAAGGTCTCAAAGTGCCATGTTCCAGGTCAAGGCCTTCTGTCAAAGCAGACTTTCACTGACAAAGGACAATTTGGAGAGTTGCACTTTTTTGTTTGTTATCAGTAACCATGTTTCCTTGTGTAAAAGAAGAACACAAAGAAGGGTAATAAAAGGGAAACACACCACAGGCTAGGAAGACATTTTAAGAGCTGACATCAAAGCCCCTATGTCTTACATCTCACTGCACAGTCACAATAACCACTCTCCATCATCTTTCTTTGATATTAACCAGATCAGATACAGCTATTCTTCACATTTCAACTGATGTCTTAATTTCTGGATTTAACTTTTTTACTGTCATGCTCATCTAATTTTTATTTTTTTTCTATTCCCTTCATACTGTACCTGTTAGTACTTTCCAGGACTTCAACCTTCTTACGTAGCTCGCTGTTTTCGTTTGAACAGTTCTCAACTCTGGAGACAACACAAGGAAAGATTAATAAATGTCTGTTTTTTACATTCAAAAACTTGTAAAACAACCCAAATCTACTTTCACAGTGAGCTCTATGATTTTTCCTACACCTAATGAAAAAGCTATGCCAACTAAATTCAGTCATAATATTCAATCCTGCTTCATGGTGTTGCAGGCACTGCAATAGATGCTACTAGCTATAGAACATCTGTCTATGCTGGTCAACTATACCCCACTAGGTCCAGTTTATTCAGGGTGGTCTGTAACGACTTTTTACTCCTTGAAATAGCAATAAGGAAGACCCTGCTATGACTTTCTCTGTGCATCAGACCACAAGACAGATACTTTAAATGTTACTGAATATGCTCTGATTATGTTGTTAGCAATTACTTTGTGCAAGAGTGTTCTATGTGTGCATTTCATTGTTAGGTACCACACTAACTAATTCAACAAATGCCATGCTTCTGAAATCACATCCTTGACTTTCATGCTTACAGAGGCTAATAAGCCAGAAGATTTATTTCCAAAAGAACACTCGTTTCTTCACTGTTCCAGGAAACCCACCTAAACTAAAGGATATTATCATATGACCTGCTACACAAGAAGTTAAAATAAAAATATGGAACTCCTATAAGACACGTATGACCACCTTGAGTAGCTATGTAAGGAAAAAGGGAAAGGGAAATGCTTCCCAATCTGCACAAATATGCTAGAATTTCACACGAGTCTGACTCTGAGAAACCAAGGCTCATTCATAAAGACATTTGAACATAAGGAAATTACCTTGAGGGTATCACAAAAAATCATGCATGGGTTTTAGCAGATCTATCTGGTGAAGTGCATAAGAAAAATACCAAATACTTCTTTCTTACAAGAAAGATTAAACCGGGATGTAAATCACTAACCTCAGTTAGTGATTTATAGTGATTTAAGGATTGGCCTTTTCCTGCTAAAGGAAGGCAACTGGTCACACGTTCTTTCTCTGAGCCCTGCTTATTCTCCCAGGAAGTCTTGGCTCACTTACTTCCTATTTCTGTCTACATCTGTACCAGAAGATAGACTATATTCACTCTAACCCTACTTTTCCATGGGCAATGCCTATCCACTAGACTAGCACATTTGCCCGAGTTGAAGGCTAATAGTAGATAGGTCTTGTCTTCCTTGAGGTTTAAGGTCTTTGCCAGCACATTAGCTTTGTGTTGGTGGCAGGCATAGCCATCAACATGCACCACCTTGCACGCAGCATCTCAGCAAAAGTACAAGCAGACTAAAGAAGGGCCTTTTCTCAGTCACAACCACGAGATGGCAGCTGGAACTTTTGCACAAAACAGTCCCAGCATCAACAGTCCCAGCATGGATCCCGTCCCGTTTCACCAAACAGTGCTATTGGCCCATTTGAAACAGGAAGGGGGCTGGCTTACTTTTTTTCCAGGCTGTCCATGTATTCTTTCTTTTTTCTTCTACTTTCCTGGGCAGAGATCTAAGGAAAAGGGAAGCAAAACACCAAATATTTGAAAAGAAAAAAAAAAAAAAAAGCAGCAAAGATGAATTAATAAACTAGTAAAAAGGCCTGACATTATTAGATTCAAGCTTCAGTGCTGTTCTCATTCCTATTCTTGGCAAGCAAGGCACTGTCTTGGTCCATTTCCACATCCTGAAGCAAGACAGCTCCTCTCAGTAGTACAAAAAGATCACTCGCTGCTCTTAGAAAATTAACCTTAAAAAGCAAATCAGATTCATCTGCAGAGAATATCCTAGCACAAATACTAAAAGACAATGCCAGGAAAAAGTCTTGCTTCTGGTCAAAGAAAAACCCATGCATACGCTGGAAAACAGTTTTGCAGAAAAAGACTTGAGGATTCTGATAGACAATAGTGAAACATAAGTCAGCAATACGCCCCCATAAAAAAGAACGTCAACCAGAGCTGAGCTATGTTACAAGAGTGTAGCCAGTAGATTATGAGAAGTATCTCTTCCCATCTACTCAGCACCTGCAAGACCACAGTTGAGAACTACATGAAGTTTGGGACCTTGAAATAAATACTTCAGACATATTGGAGCAAGTCCAGAGGATAGCCTCTGCTACAATAACTATGCTGGAGCACATGGTGTATCAACAGAGGCAAAGAAATCCGGGTTTGTTCAGATTTTAAAAGATAAAGGTAAGGAGGGAATCCTATTGCTGTAGCAAAGATTAAGTCAACCTTCTCAGAGGTATACAGCAAAATGACAAGAACATTAAATACAAGTTGCAACAAAAGAAATTCCAATTAAACATTAGGATTGTATTTTATTTTTTATCCAGAAAAGCAGCCTCATATGGATCAGGTTGCCTAGAGAAGCTGGGGACCCATCACTCGAACAACAAAACATGACTGGACAAGCCATTTAGTAACTCGATCTAAGCTTACTCTGCATTCAGAGCAGGGAGTTCAACCAAAAGGCCTCTAGCAATTTCCCCCTGTATGAATGTCTCTAATAACGTCCATGACAAAATGTGCAAGGAAACTTTACAATTTTGGGGGGAAAAAAAAAAAAAAAAATTAGACCACATTTCAATTCAGTGTGGGCAACTTTACGTCTCTGTCAGCAAAACCAGTAACAGAATGCATCAGCCTTCAAAGCTGTGCTAATATTCTCCAGAATGAGTGAGTTGGCTAAGTCTGAAAAAATGCTTCCCTCCACTAACTCTTTGCCATTTGGGGAGAAAGAGAAGACTTGCAGGGCTTTTCACAGCCTTGTTGTCAACTATTCATTTAAAAGTTAAGGTCTGATTCTGTGATCAGAAGACTAGGGCAAGGAAATACAAAGTCAGACTTTAAAACATGAAACTATGGAAAAGAACACCTTCAACACTATGGAAAGAACACGCAAGTCTTTGCCTATCCATAAGGGAAAGGATCAAACAGTTTTAAAAATGGAGGCAGGCAACAGCAACTTGATACCCTGCTTGCTAAATACCCCATTGTTTAAGTGTTCAGGTAAATACCTAGACAGAGGCACTGTCACAGTGTGATGGATGTGTTTAGGAACAGAGAAAAATACTTTGTTAAAAGACATCTTACAGCATTCAGCAGTACTAGGGGTCATTGCTACTGAAACACTGCAACATTTTTAAATGAAGGCTGAGTAGGAATTACCCAGCAAAGATGCTAAATGAACATTATTTACCTTGTTCTTTATTTTTCTGCGGATTTTCTTCAGCACCTTCTCCTCTGCTTTTGTCAGGGGCAGTTTGGTAGGGATTGGGTACCCCTCTGCTATCAGTGTCCTCTTCTCCTCCTCTGTCAGGATGAGTGGGCCAGTCCCCTGCAATTTCTGCAAGTCACAGAATGAAGAAATGTAACACAGTGCACACAGACCCAGAGAAAAGGTGTTAGGGAACAGAGTCTCTGCACACTAACTCAGCAGTCTCTTGCAACTGGAAGGAATGGAGGGTAAAGACTGTTTACATAGCTTCCATTTAGAGACTGAGATGCTTTCAGCCCAGCTCTGAACATACTGAGGCCACCAGTAAAGCTTCTCCTGGCTCAAGCAGGGAAAGAGACAAATGAGAAGCAGTGCTGAAAATCCCTCCCTAAAAATCACCACTTGATTTCCAAGACATAGCAACAAGAGGACAGATGTAGATGTATTAGGGACAAATTAACCCAGTAGGGCTGGGTCCTAATGTAAAACACAATCCAGACTGGAAGAAACCTCATAAATGTGCTCAACCTTGCCTCAGTTAGAGAGGCACACGTCATTCCCTGTGGGAACAGGATAGACAAATGAACAAGAATTACTGGATATGCAGTTTTGATCAGAGCTGGGTTCATTCAAAGAACAACAGAAATTAGCAAATGTATGGCAAAAAACAGTAATTTAAAAGCAAAAAAAGAAAAACAAACAAAAACACACACACACAAAAAAAAAAAAAAAAAAAACAGAAAAAAACAACTGACATGTTAAATAAAAAAACAGCTCAACTTACATGTGGTGCAGTCAGGAGAGGGGAATTGGAGAGTGCTGAAGCTGTGCGTGATGCCACTTTAGCTGCGGCTTGCAGCTGAATTGGGCTTGAAGGAGGGAGAGATCTAGCTGGGCTCTGCCCTCCCTCAGAGTCACTGCCATGACTGCTGGGAGGGGTTGGAGGCAAATGCAGGGGATCAACTGCTGCATAGCAAGAGAGAAATACAACAACGTAAGGGTTGGAGTGCTAACATAAGCCTTCACCAGAGCCACTGATTCAGTCACCACCCAGTTTCCAGGACTTGGACCCTTTGCTAAATGATGGATCAAGCAAATGTGGCAATTTGGAAGACCTTCAGAGCATGCAGGCCTCTAAAGGAGGAATGAAACACAGCAGCTATCTTTAGGTCCAACTGACAAAACAAGGCTATGCTCATCTGCTCCAGTCATTTCTGCCTACACTTCCACACCTCCAAAAGCCTTGAGATTTAAGTATTAGCCTCCAGCATCAATACCCTGCTTCGGAAACCACATTAACAGAGAGGGCTCTGAGCCGGCATGCCTTCTCTCCAAAAACAAGTCTTTCCCAGCCTTGCTATGGATTTAACACATTGCCAGTACTTTTCAAGAGAAGATAATGTTCATATAATATGTTAAGGAAAGAGAAATTCTATCCCCTAAGGGTCTGCTCTGACACAACTGGTTGGTAATGACAACCTCCTGACAGCGAAGGCTTTATTGGACCAGGAGCAGCAAAAGAATCAACCCCAGGAATCTCTCTCAACATTTTGCTATCCACAGCCATAAGCAAACTTGCACTGCTCTGGCAGTCAAGAGAACCTGTGCTACAACTGGCAAGCTGACCAAATGGGACAGGATCAAGAGAAAGAGCACAATGTCTCAGCTACTCAGATTACATGAGCAACTAACTATGGCTGTTTTGGACATCCGTTTTTTTGTGGGGTGTTTTGTTTTGTTTTAAGTAAATTTATAGCAATTACAGTTGGAAGATAGAGGACTGGACTCTTCTAGGTTTTACAAATTTGAGTTGAAAAAATCAAGTGGTGGAGGATGAAGGGAGAAAAAGTAACAGAAGTCATTATACACGAGCTCTTGTGGGCTAGCATCTTAACTCTAGCAGTTGCTTTCTCCTGTAAGACAGTAAGTTCCTTAAGCTCACAAATCAAGCAACTTCATCTACATTTTAGGTTAAAATATAAACTCCCTTTGTCCTAGCTGCTAAGTCAGTTGCATCCCTTCCTAGAGCAGTCCTATTTATCTACATAAATGAATTCACTAACAGAATATCAAGCGTTCCTAACTGAGATGCAGTTATCTTCTTAAATTTCAGTATTTGGCTCTTTCAAACTTTTCTTAGGTCAATAGATTATGTGCCATAAAGCTGTGTTTTACACTAAGTGAAGGGATCATCACTCTTCCTACTGCTTAATTTATATAGTACAAAGGGACCCTGGTGGTTCTCAGACCTGAACTGAAACAAATGTTCAAATGTTCAAATGCTTCTAACTTAATTTAATATAAACTCACATGCTTTCTTTTGCAGCTCAAGGCAAAGAGATTTAAAATAGTGAAGTTTTCTCTTGTACTTGTTTTGTATGCCTTGTTAAGTCCCATCTTAGGCTAGAAGAGAAATCTTCTTTTCTAAGATCTCTTCTAACCTAAATAATCTTGTTACGTTAAGGAGATTCAAGCTCCCTCCAGCAACTGCGTAATTGTTAACAGTCACAGACAAAATAGGGATAATTTTTTTTGTGATGAGCAAAACAAAAACAAATTAAAAAAAAATCTACATAAATAGGTCAGAAAGATTGGCTTTTTAGCAGTCTTATTCAAATCCCTGGAAGGCATCAGCTTCAGCATAAGGATTAACATGGCAAACAAGGAAGCCAAATATTTAATCAGGGTAAAGTACACTCATTGTGCATTCTGGTCATTTCCCTTGCATACTAGATAGACAATTAACAGACCTTCCTTAGAAGAGAGATTCAGAAACTGATCCACTTCATGAGGCTCCAATTTAATCTCTGGAAGAGCTTTCTGGCTCAGTGGTTTCATCTAGAAAAGAGAAATTAAGAGCATGAAAACCCAAAGCACACATCTTCAGATCTTAATTGAAGGATACAAGGATGAATATTCCATAAATGGAGAGATTTCCCTCTCCTACTCTGCTGCAGGCAAAGCTTTAACTGCTTCACACAGTTCTGCTTAGCCAGGCTACAGAAAACGCTGCCCAGCCAGGCTACAGAAAATGTTGCCCTGACTATTCCTGCTGTGGTGTTTTTTATTACTGTATTTAGTTAAATAAAAGATTATGCCTCAGAGATGACATCTCAGACTGAAAGATAGCAAGCAACCCACTCAAATTACTTCTCATAGCAACAGAGCTGCCACTAGGATCTGTTGGACTACATAGCCAGTTTGAGCAGTCAGCAATGCTCCTGGCAGCAGGCAGAACCCATCTGAAACCACTGTCATCTAGGAGTGAGATGCTGAGCACTGTGTTATTGACCCCAAGTTCATTTCACCATGCAGAGGAACTGTAATAGAGATGGCTGTGGCTGAATTATATTTAGAGGACATCTGACTTGCTTGTTGACAAGGCTGGCTCACCAGGCTGCCAAACTGCTGTCCAGTCTGCCTGAATTCTACAATCCTAGGTTTAAGGAAGTCAGTCTGGCACCTCAACATGCTCAATGTGGCCAAAATCTCTCCCAGAAAAACAATGTAATTAATTTGTGCAATAGTAGTGAGCCACCAGTTAGTTCCTCCACTGAAGGGGAACCATCAGCTGCTGCCATTCAAACTCCTGAATTCAATCACAGTCAAACTAAGCCCTCATGAATGCCCCCTGGCTGCTCCAGGTATGGGAGAAGGGCATCATAAATTGTTCTTACTCGGCAAGTTGGTATGGAAGCAGCAGCACCTCAAAGTGTCAGAGCTTGACAGACCTGGCAAAAAGTGATTTAGCAGGCAAAAAGGAAAACTCTTCAGTCATGGGGTCTCATTCTGATTAGGGGAAGACACAGCAGTGCTAAGGCAAGTCATTATGGAACTCCTAGCTTGTTACAGACTCCACAGTACAAATGAGTCACTTCAGCTGTGCCCGGTTCACTTGAGACTGTTTAAATAATTTTTAAAAGCATCAGCTCCAGGCATTTGCATTGTCTGTCCTAAAAGAAAACTGCATCCAGCCAGTAAGACATAAAGATGCATATATGAGTTTTGAAACACAAACTCTACAGCAGTAGTGGGATACCAGCAAGCATTAGAAAATGGTAAAGCAGAGACCTTGATGAGAAACCTGAATGACACCTTTGGCACAGAGGAGGCAGTGTTCTAGGAGAATCTATATCTAACTGCACAAAGAGAAGAAGAGAAAGTCTGCAAGTACCAGGACATCAGTATGCAGCTCAGCTTGTTCCCCATCCAGCGACATGGCAGAGACAGTGAGACTGACAGAGGGAGCAAGGCCTGACGTCTCGCACAACGCTGGCTCAGTCTTTATTGCTGCTGGAGTCAGTTCTGAACCCAGACACCAGTCCTCATTTTCCAGGTCACCTGCCAGGGAAGGAAATTGGATACCACATGTTTAGGTCAGGGACAGAGAGACTACAAATGAAAATAATGTCATCCCTCCTCCAGAGAAGGGAAACAAACACAGAAGACATTTCAGTCCATCAACACCACTCTGCCCTTCCTATTCACCTCTCAGTCAATGCAGACAACTGTGCTGTTTCGGGGCTGTAACCTAATCCTAGCCCCAGGATACACAGAGGAGCAGTGCAGAAAGACACAGAGCACTAATCACTGCATACTGCCAAAAGCTGCTAGCACCCAGCAAAACAAGATTAAACAAGTGTTGGATAGAGCAGCCAGGGAGCCATGTCCTACACACCTAACTTAAGTTGACTCCATTTTATTCATTCTTGTAGAAGTACTGCTTAGCCAGCCTTCTGCTCCTTCTGCTGCCCGCAGTCATCACATACCTGGAGCGGTGATATTACACTTCTAAGAACAAAGGATTTTTCACTCTTTCAAATTCAAGACTTTTTCCCTAAGGATTCATTTAGTAAGTATAAAAGGGGACAATGGCTTTGATGATTTCACAGGAGAACAGTACCATGGTGATCACGCTAATTTCCTCCCCAGAGCGTTTGGGAGACACAGCACAGAATGCAGAGTTAGACTGGCAGCAATGAAATGTGCATCACATGTTGGCAGAACTGGCTGCAGAGACCAACTTCTTAAAAAGAAAGCTTACTGCCATCTTTCACTGAACAAAGCCAAAGGGTTTGCCTTGAATTGTCAAGAACTAGAAGGAGGTTGATGTGGTAAGTTGCTTGCTTCCCACTTGTATTCCTGGAAGCCACTTTGAAGAGAGATGTAGATATATTTTTGGCAAAATTGCAATTCTACCTTCAAAAAATCCCATTCCTAGAGCTAACGTTCCGTAGAAGGTCTTCTTTCCTCTTGGAGAAGACTACTCCTCACTGCTGCACCATAGCACAGTCCGCTGCCATAACTTGCCAGCAGCTGCAAGGGTCATAATCCATAAATCAAGCAGTTGGATTGCAAGGACAAACATACATAAAGGAAAAGGGTGTTGATCTCTCTTTCAAAGCCCTCCCTGCTTTTATATTCAGCATTTGTTGCATATATGGAATTAAAGCAGCAAGCAAGCACGTACACATAGATAAGTACAGTTAGGACATGGCAACACAGTTTTGAACTATCTGGACGCAGCATCAACTGCTAGGAGTTTTCAGGGCACTGTGGCTATGCCACCAACAGTCTGTGAAGCTGATATAAGGCCTCTACACATTGAGCTGGTGGGATGTCACCAGCTGCAGGCAGGTAACAAAAATAAGAGCGGTCTGAGAGCCTCTGTGTTTGTCTCAGCTACTATTAAGACCACACAGGCATCTGGCACACAGGCGCTTGGTGGGGGCTGAGCGACTGCAAGAAGGGAGAAGAATGCACGTGGCCAGTGCTAGTCATTACTTTGTGGTGGACCTCACCTCCACCATTGGCAAGGAAAGAGGTAATTTGAGAAAAGACACACCAAGGAATTAAAACTGAAAATATGTATCCTGTAATCAGATGCTCTAGAACAGCAAGCCAAACTCCGCCAAGAAAGTGAATGGTAAGGCAAGGGCTAAACACTGTACTTAAATTGCTTGAAGTGCTTAGTCCCAAAGCTTTCCAGGAAACACAGAACAATGAAAATGGAAGTATTTATGAAAAGAAAAACAAACTAACAAAACAACAACAAACAAAAAAACAGGTAGCATTAGCGTTGTCTAAATATTAACTTGGGAGAGGGGACACTGCTCTTTTTGCACTCTGTCTGCATGTCTCATAAACACAAGAATGTCATTCCATAGAATCTCAGAATCAGAAGAGTTGCAAAAGACCTCTAAGATCACCTAGTCCAACCATCCACCAACCTCCAGTATTTCCAGACTAAACCATGTCTCTTAGTACAACATCTAAACGTTTCTTGAACACCTCCAGGGATAGTGACTTCACCACCTCTCTCCAATTCTGGAGAAAAAATTGTTCCTAATATCCAACCTGAACTTCCTCAAGAACAGCTGTTCCCCCTTGTCCTATCACTAGTTACATGGGAGAAGATGTTGACCCCCACCTTGCCACAACCTCCTTTCAGGTTGTAGGGAGTGATGAGGTCTTCACTGAGCCTCCTCTTCTTCAGACTGAACAAACTCAGTTCACCCAGCTGCTTAGTACAAGACTTGTGCTCCAGACCCCTCACAGCTTTATTGCCCTTCTCTGGACATCTTGTAGCGAAGAGCCTAAAACTGAACACAGTATTCCAGGTGTGTCCTGAACAGAGCTGAGTACAGAGGGATGATCATTTTGCTGCTCCTGCTGGCAACACTATTTCTGATACAAGCCAGGATGCCATCAGCCCTCTTGGCCACCTGGGCACAGTGCTGGCCCACACTCAGCTAAGCATCAACCAACACCCCCAGGTACATTTCTTCCAGCCACTCTGCCCCAACCCTATACAATTGCCTGGGGTAGTGTCCAAAGTGTGGGACCTGGCAATTGGTCACATTAACTTCATCCCATTGTCCTCAGCCCAGCTATCCAGCCTGTGCAGATCCCTCTGTAGGGCCTTCCTACCCTCAGGCAGATCCACATTTGCACCCAACTTGATGTCATCTGCAAAATTACTGAGGGTGCACTCAATCCCTTGTCCAGGTCATCAACAACGACACTAAATAGGACAGGCCCCAGTACCAACCCCTGGGGAACACCACTCCCGATGGATTGCCAGCTGTATTTAAATGTTTAAATGTTTTCACCTCCACCCTGCACCCAGCCCTTCTGCCAGTTCTTTATCTAGCAAAGAGTGTACTTGTTCAAGCCACAGGCTGTCAGCTTTTCTAGGAGAACACCGTGGGAGATGGTGTCGAAGACTTTGCTGAAGTCTATGTAGACTGTGTTGACAGCCTTTCCCTAATCCATCCAGAGGGTCACTTGATCATAGAAGATCAGGCTGGTTAAACAGGACCTGCCTTTCATGAACCCATGCTGGCTGGGCCTGATCCCTGGTTGTCCTACACATGCCATGTGATCTCACTCAAGATGATCTGTTCCATAACCTCCTCTGGCACCAAGATCAAGCCAACGGGCCTGTAGTTCCCCAGATCCTCCTTACAAACTTTTCTGTAGATGGAAGTCATACTGGAAAACCTCCAGTCCTCTGGAGGACCAGGAACACTGATAGAAAGCAGAAAAGCGGCTTGGCTGTCTCCTCTGCCAGCTCTCTGAGCACGCTTAGGTAGAGTAGTAGGTCTCTAACTGTTTCCATCTGAATTGTAGGGGGTTTGTTCTGCTCCCCATACCAAGCTTCCTGGTCAGCGGGTAGACTACCCCAAGGATAACTGATCTGACTTTTAAAGTCAGATCTAAAGAAGCCACTGAGAACCTCAGCCTTTTCCTTATCCTTAGTGCCATTCCGCTGACAGCAATCACTGGTCAGTGGGTGAGTGCACCCCACCCTATTTGCTCTGTGTGGACCATTCAGATAGAACACCAGAGTGGTAGCTTTGCCTGGAAATCCATTATCCCTTGGTAAATGCAACTTTCAAACGTTTCTTTGGATAACTTCTTCCAAAGCCTCCCCAGTAGGGTGCTATACACTTGCTGTCTCTCTCACCTCTGGTTCAAGCTGCACTGTGGCAGTACTAGCAGTTGCAAGCTACTTTAGACTCCCTGTGGGAGAGAACGTTATGTATAAATGAGAGTTATCAGTGAACCATCTAATTAGCCCTGCACTTTGAGATTTGTGTTACCATGCAAGTGGAAGAGTAGCCTAGCCGTGGGTGCCCAGGGAAACAGGGCACAGCCTCTAAGACTTTGCTTTGTGATCTTTATCATTTCTAATCCCTGGATTCATCACAAGGATGCTGGCCATCAGCCCATCACTCTCCTCCGCTGGGACCTAAGCATGCTGCCTGACCTGACACCCCGCCATCACCGCTCAGCTCCGCACCAACTGCTCCAAGTTATTCCAGGCACTAAAGCTATTCTGACCAACTCACAGGTTTTCAGAGATAGCAACATGGTGCATTTAACACTGAGATAACTTTGAAGAACTGCATTTGTCTGGTCTTTGACATTGCCTTTTAAGCATGGTGACAGCTGTCATTCCAGATGATCAGCTCTCTGAAAAGAAGGGATGGAGCAATGCACTGGTCAAATTCCACCCTCACATCCCCCTCTTCCTGATTTTCCCAAGCCCTTATTACACATTCATTATCACAGTTGGCATTGTGTAACGAGGCACTTTCTTTTGATGCATTCTTAATCCACCGCTAATCTCTCCTCAGATCTTCAAGGACATTTTCCTCTCTCCTTTCTCCACTTCCTGAGCACATTTGGTTGACATTACCTGAAAATCATTATTAGTTTATTCCTATAACAACTCCTAGAAGCTTCATCTGCTCTGCCAAGCCCTGATCTAGCAGAACAAGGGAGAATTACTTGCCAAAACTCCTTGAGAAAACTGCAAAAAACAAGATAAATTTAGGCACATGGGGAAAAACTGAACAGACTACGAAACACTGGTAATACAGGCATGGTACACCTTTTGAGACATCATTATTTCTGGTGGAGGTGCCTGAAGAACCATGGCAAAGGTTTCATGGAAGGACGAGAACAAGCACAGAGTTGCACATGAAATCTCGAAATGAAAGGGCAATGGAGGATGGCTCAAGAGATGTACCAGAGGAGAAAGGAGGTCTTCTCGAAACCTAGTGAGTCATGCTGTGGAAACAGTAGGTGACTGGGGTCTAGAAATTGAAGGTAAATACTCATCATTATATCCAACATGATCCAAGAGGCACAAGTGAACTAGTAAGACAGAGACCAAAACAATAGACTGAGAAAATGCCCTTCTAGATGGATACCAATAAAGCAACGGTGTACTACCAAGTTGAGACAAAATATGTTGCATGTCATTCAGGGATAAGAAAAGAAAGCCTGAGCAAGAGATTTAGCTAGTTGAATGGCTAGGAAAAGCTACATCC